GTGTGTGTGTGTGTGTGTGTGTGTGTGTGTGTGTGTGTGTGTGTGTGTGCAGAACACTTGACAAAGATCTGTACTTTGCAGCTGCAGCACTGCCTGTGTGTGATGACTTACCACAGCAGACTGATAGCACATGACCAAATGAGGTAAGACAGCGTTATTAAAGCACACAGTGAGTCTCAGAGCAGCTGGCAGGACAAAGCAGGTGACACTTCATTCACASAGGACAGGCTCATTATGGCTAACGCTGATATGGCTGCTTAAAAAAAAAAAAAAAAGCTATTGTAAACACGTACCCGCTGCGATATCAATGATGAGGTCCTCCTTTTTTTTGTCTCCGGGATTTCCAAACAGCTTATTTACCAACTATGGGCAGCAAGCTAGCTAACGTTCCACCAAAGGAAAAAAAAAAAGAAAAGAAATTCACATAAATTGCTCCGCGTTATAAATTAAACGAGATGTAATTTTAAAAAAAAAACGGAAGGCAAGGAAAGTCTGTGTTATTGGTTTTCCTCTTCACGCAGAAATAAGTTACAAACGCTCTTGGTTGGAGAAAACGTATCCACGCTGCGTTATTTTTAATGACAACCTCTCGGTGTTGCGCTGTCCTTTGTTGTGAGCATCTCAACGTAAACACTGTGCTGAGCCGTTCCGAGAGCGTGCGCTGTGTGGGAGGAGGGAACGTAGCCGCAAAGGACGCTGGGACTTGAAGTTTTTACTCCCCGCTCATCGCCGAGCGCCTTGGACCGCCACGGTGGAGGTGATGCCTCGTGACCCTGAAAGGAAGGAGCAGGTATAGATAATGGATGGATAGATAATTGTTAACAACAAACTTCTGCAGTTTCCTCACGATGCACAAGTGAAGGGAACAGTTTTTATTGTTCTCATAAAACACCAAATAAATTAGCATTTATTTAATTTTTTTTAGCTAATTAGTCAGTTTTAAAATTGAAAAACACTGAACATTTGCTGTGAGCTGTGTCATGTTAACAGGGAAAGTAAAAATAAACCAGAAGTCATGCACTTGTTCTTTGTTCTGGGACAAGGAAAAAAGAAAGAAAAAAGGCCCAAATCATCATCCTTCCTCCACTGTGCTCAAAAGTTGAGGTGTTTGTGCTTGATTCTGTTTGTTTTCAGATATGGAAAACACATAATGGATTATATTTCGGACAGACATCCGAACTACAGTATGATGTCATTCATCCAAAATAAATTTTCAGAAATGATTTGGTTTGTTCAGATATTTGACATTAATTAATAATTTGAAATAGAGGCTTTCTCAGATGCTTTGCTTAAAGCACTACAAAGACCTCCAGCAGCTCCTCTGTTTCACTTTAACGTGAATTTGTGCGACTTGTGCGCCCAACCAACAAATGTGCACGACTTCTCTCTGCTCGTCAAAACAACTCCCATACCACAGGAGCTTAAAGGTTCACTTTGGGTGGACAGGAATGAGACAGGGCTTGTCTTCTGCCTGCACTGCCTCCGTCTTTTATCTTTATCACCAAAATGCTGAATGTCCACTTTCTTTGTCTCACCTTATATTTTATCTTATATAGCTTCATTTTCCCCATTCCATTTCTATTCTAATCTTCTGTTTTTAGTTTTTGAATACATAGGACAAATGTTGTGAGACACTGAAATTTCCTGATGTAGGTCATTAATTAGGGTGTTAATTAGACAAGAGCAAACCTCATCACATCTATTTGTTCTCTATGAGGTGGTGTTCCAGTATGTCTGCTGAAAATTTGAAAGGCTAAGTTTATGCAGTGTCATCATAGTTGCATAACAAACAGACCTAAACATTAAAAGCAGCTGTTCTGGATGAAAATATTTTTAATTATTTGTTGATTTCTGAAATATTTGCTGTGCATATAAAAAGAACAGAAGAGGAAAGTTTTCTGAACCGTCTGGAGGGGATTTGGGGTTTATTTGAAATACACAATGAAACGATTATTCAGTCATTCATTCAATCTGCTCCAAACTTTGACTATAAGAAAGAAAGACAACACTAAATGTTAATGTAGTACAAGCAACCACTGGATCAAAAATATTATTTTCTTAATTCACTCGTTTGATCGCAATTTATAAGCTTTGGCTACTTTTGCCACATAATTTTTAGGGTAAAGTTATTTTTACTTGTTAAGCCATGTTTGAATCATTCAGGTACTGAAAAAGCTCCTGAGCTCATAGGATGGATATTTTCAACAACCTATCAAATAACAAAAAGAAATAAATTGTATAGGTCTTCTGGACGGATTCTTCTCTGATGAAACGTTTCGTCTCTCCTCCAAGAGACTTCTTCAGTCTGAGAGTTTCAGGCAAAATTCAGGCTTTTAAGCCCTGCCTCCATGTGACTGATACTC